AGTTTTATAGATTACAAAACAAAATTTTGGTTTATGATTTTTGACTATATGACCTTGGATTGCGTAAGAGGAAAACACGATATCATGTAATTTTCTCGATAGAAAAAAATTGCAAAGTCTCATTAGTTACATTTCTCCATGATACGACAATATTTTAACGAATAACTTCATGAAATTATTTTTAAGGCATAGTAAATAATCATATCTAAGTTCTCATAGACCATTTAATCCATAACAAAGTTTTGTTTTTATCCGAGCGCGTACTCGGTATAGCTATCTCATAATTTGCGTACTATGAAGTCATGGCATCACTTTCATTTTGACACTCCCTCAGTCGTCCGTGAGCTTCACCGAACTACGATTCATTTTCAAGGTATCCTTTAACTACTATCACACCTGACGATAAGTGGTGATGCAGCCGAAGGTGGTGAAGCCTTGAAGACACCTACATTGTTTATCGGATAGAAACCAGCGCATAAGTTTAATACTGCTGTGTTTCGTATGGCGAGTGTACAGATTCGGAGACCCTTTTTTACTGGAAACGAGGCATTCCATCTTAGTCCTCAGGGGTGACAACGTATCTGCGTTTTGGTTCTTAATCGAGGATAAATGTAGATGTCTATGGACCACAGCATCCACTTACCATCAGGTGGACTGTGTGCTCGTTTGTCACCCTTATTCTATAAAAAAAGACTGATCTGGCTCATTTACTTAGTTATTCCACTCCTTTGCTGTACTCGTGACGTACAATGTAGCGAACCGTTTGGTTTGATTGCGTTGTAAGGCGACAACGAAAGATTGAGGCTGGCTAAACGTCTGTTTGACTGATAGTAGAAGGGAGAGGGAGATTACCAAGGAAAGAGGTACTATCCCCTTGCCTATTTCAGCTGTGTTCCATTTTGAATATTATAAAGAGCCGTTCGATAACGAGGCATTTCGATTTAGTTCTTAATCATATAATAATCGACCTTATCTGTAGCATAATGATTTCTTATATTTACGCGAACGTAGTGTTACACATTGAATAAAATTACTTGGATTTTATCGCGTTTAATTTACTGGATATTAATACACGACGTTTCGGTGCTTTCCAGCACCCATGGTCACGGGGGACTGAGGTGACTGACGTCCTGATGTCAGAGTTAACCCGGAGTACCCTCAGCTTTTTAATTATTACTTATGGTCCGATCTACGCAGAATGAATTTACTAAGTCTTGAAGTCAGTGGTATGCTTGGGTTTAGTTTTAACTATATTAATTACAGGGTCCCAAGCAGGTGGTAGCACCCAGCCATCTTCTATATTGAAATTAGGATGTTTTTTAATTTCAATAGCCTCACGTATCATACTTGGCAGGAATCGACGTTCTTTCGCGAGGATTTATGGTCTATCAAATCTGATGTACTGGCGGGGTCCGTCGAGGATATGATCACCAAGTGCAGACTGCCGGGATATCAACCTCCTGTTTCAAGTTGGATATAGCTGTCCATGTGCGGCAGTAGACAGTAACCATCAGGTGGGCTGTAATTCCATCCGTGGCTTTGGTTTAAAAAAGTTTAGTGGGTCCAAGGTTCGACTCCCACGCGAAGCGTTTGTATGAGCTACAAAAAATTGCTCCGGATTTTTGTTTACCTATGTTTTGAAACGGAAACAGAAACAGAAACTTTTTTATTCAATTGTAGTTTTCAGTTGTCGTAAGAGACGACCGACGAGAAATACCAAAATGATCTTTATTCGCTCACTCTCTCCTGTGGCTAGGTTTGTCAGATCGGTAGACCATAATATTTGGACAAATTTTGAAAAGTCGGAATTTTTGGGTCGTTGTCGGGAGAAAAGAATATTAAAAATAAAAAAGTTTATTTTTTTAATTAAGAGGCTACACAAGTACTTTCAACAAAACTAATTTCATACTCAGATTGCCACGTTTATTTGGCATTAGACTTCATTATGGACGACACACACGGTCACTTCAACTGATCATTCCAACTGATCAGCTCAAACTTTAAATATCGGATTTTCGATATATTGACAAATAAACTTATATATAAAACTCCGACATTGATATATTTATAATTATAGATACATCTAAAATCCGATAATTTAAAAAATATCAACAGTCCTAGTTTGAACTGATCAGTTGAACTGACCGAGTGTGTGTCGTCCATTAGAGTCTACCAATTTGGATCCTTTAGATTCAGAAAATATTTTAAATTCAAACAATTTACTTCAAAGTTCAGTCTAATTACTAACTTAGCTTTTATTAAATCAAATGCCATACATTAACTTTCCGAGGAGCTGTTTATGAGATTTTAAATTTTGTCGGGAGTCTGGAGATCATTAAAACGTCGAGAGAATCCAGACGAATCTCGACCATCTGGCAACCCTATCTGTGACGCAGTGACCCAGTAGTGGGTCTTGGCTTTCACACGAGAAGAGGCCACTTTTATTTGTCCTACGCAAGATCTCACCAGTTGTCTTCAGCACGAAAAGCGTGCAGGTCAGCTTCCACCCGGTCACGCCAGCGATATTTAATAATAATAATAAATAAATAAATCATTTATTCTGGACCGAACCTTTTTTACATTTTTTACACCCACCAAACTGCGTAACAGTTTGTCGGCGGGATTAGCGCTTGTCTTAATACATTTGGTTCAAATACATAACTATAAGCTAATGAAAATAAAACAGTGTAAATAAAGCAAGTTTTAAATTTAGCCTATTATTAAAAAACTACTGCTATTATTAAGAATTACTAACATTTGGCCTATAGAAACTACAACTAATATTAGGATTTACTAACTTTTTCATATCTCGCAACAACTTCGTTAAGGAAAACAGTTTTCAATTTATTTTTTAATTTTTGTTTACTTATTATAGTATTATCATCTCTCAGCCAATCGAGGTCATTAAAAAGTGTGGGGGTCAAATATTTGTTGGTTCTTTTCCCACAATAACTTTTTACTGGTGGTCGCACGAGTTTACGCTCTCTAACGCTTCTAGTATTATACCTATTTTACACTTGTCCTTTAAATTGGTCGTTATAGAACTGTTCAAGAACCAACAGGTACTTGACTTTCTCATGTACAGGAAGCATTTTACATGCAACAAAAAGTTTTCCATAATTGTCTTTACATTTGGGTCGACAAACTGGATATCGGCCAGTAGGTCAATGTAAATATGGTCTCTTTGCACTTAAATCTTCCCCCATCCGTTCTACATAACCACAGCCGATGAGCTTTTATTTCTCCAATGATGTTTGGCTCGACCATGAGTTTTGTCTTCCGGAGTTTTTCCGGACCCTCCATCTGCTATCCTATCTTCGAATTGGACCAAGCATCCTTTGGTTTGGTAAACATCGTTTGTTTAACTCAAAATGGTCTTATGACTTCAAAATATACATATTATGATCATCTCGTTAACGCCAGACGTAAAATATCTGGACCGGCGCGGCGACACAAAGTAGCATCAAAGGTTTTCATGTCGTATATTGACTTCGTCATTCCGCGTGGTGGCATTTTACGATTTTTTTTTAAATTATGCAATACTAAATCCTAACTATCTGCTGACTTTTCATTATATTATTAAAACAAGGAGGATAGACATGACAAGGATCTAGAATTCCAAAACAAGTGAATGCAGGTAAGGATACATAAATGGTGCTCTTCACTCTACTGTGGGACCTGAATGTGTCAAAAGAGGCACGTATGGCAATGGTATATGTCACGAGTTTTTCTCCCATCAGAACGACACCACTTAACGAGTAAAGTGAAATATTTGACAGATTGCATAGCGGAGAAGTTTATTTGTTACGAAAATATAAGGGTTAATGTTTATTTTTGTAATATTTGTCATGTTTTATTTTAATTAGATTAGAAATAAATTAACCAAAACTATAGATATGCCTAAGATTGGAAATTATAAAAAAAAACGTTAAAATATACAAAAAATTAAAAAGAAAACCACTAAGGCTTTGTATTGTGTACTTGGACTCTCTAGAAACTGATAAACTTTACAATAAACTGCAATTTCTCAATAATTATAATGATATTGTACAATAAATAATTTCACCTCACTCCCACACCTAGCCGCATCTGGTGAGCTATTATTGGCCCGCATTCACAATGCCATCTTAGGGCGTTTGTCCACTGCCGCCGTCACCGTCACGTCACCGAGAACGAGATTCTTTCGGGCCGAGTTTAATATGACGTGACGGCGATCGTTTGTCCACCGCGACCGATTTCGCTGCTTTAGTTTGTTGCAGCTGGCATGCGTGGTAGTCGCGTTTTGGAAGAAATAAAGTGATGGCTAGGTTAAACCGGCGACAACTTCTTCTACTTCTTTTGTACCTTCGAAGGCGCAGGCGATGCAAAGAATTTTGGGTTCATCCGCTAATACGTGAACGATACATCACAGGGGCGTTTTATGTACACCACGCCAAGTTGCGGCAGCATGACAAGAAGTTTTTTAACTACTATAGGATGTCCACGACTACGTTCGATTATATCCTATAACATATTAAGGATAGCATCACACTCCAAAACACGAACTACAGGACATGCATACCACCAACTGAAATGTTTGCTGTTACATTGAGGTACGTAGTAAAATACTACTCCATCACCGCAACTAGAAGATGCATGTCAGTGTAGGGAAGGTCTGTACAGTTGGTAATGTCAGTCTGCGTCACTAACTCACATGCGTCTTCTACTTGCGGCGATGTGTAGGAAGTAATACTTTTTGTATTTTAATATATTTATTAAAATTATTATTATTTATTTTGAATAATAGTATTAATGACAGGTCACCTTATATGATAGTATGAATAACAGGGTCCAATTTTATAAAGCTACAAGTTACAATTCTACAGGCAAATTAACATTGATGCCGCAGTCTCGACCAATCACGAATGCCGATTCCGTCAATGTTGCCCGTAATTTACCTGTAGCCTGTAACTTGTAGTTTTATAAAATAGGGCCCAGGTGGTTAGATTAAACTTACACACCTACATTTTAGAAAAATCTTGGAAAAATAATTCTCCAATAGATTGTATTTGTTGCTGAGGTGTAAACTGCTGGGTTTCATGCTGGGGTGAAATCAGTTGCATTCCTTGCTGGGATGTGAACTGCTGGGTTTCATGCTGGGGTGAAATCAGTTGGTGGAAGTTATTATGATCGCTAGGTGTAGCGGTGCTCGACCACGACAAACGCCTGCAGTTTTTAAATCTGCGAAGCAATTGCATAACTTCGATTCTAAAGTCAAACTTATCATCGTCGTTCAATTCTTTGACGGATGGCAGGAGAGATATCATAAATGCATGGTCATCGTCAATTAATTCAGATTCCGATTCCGCGGGATTTGCCTGGATAGCTTTTAATATTTCTGCATCGACCGCATTTAGCCTTTTCGTTCCCCTTCGAATCGTGGTAGATGTGGATGTGGATGGGGAAGGTATTGATTGGTCTAGGTGACTATGTGATGTTTGTTGGCTTTCGGGACGACTTTCAGAATCATTTTGAGTTGGTATGCTTGAATCAGTTTCGTCGGGTGTTACAGTCTTGAGTAGAAATTGTAGGTTATCACTGTAAATGTACTTTTTTGCAGCTTGTCCTGACTTAGTCTTAAAGGACTTTATAAATGTGTCTCGAATGTTACTCCACTTTCACATCTGTAATAAAAGTCAATTTAACAATTAACTTTTATTACAGATACCTCGCAAGCGGAAATACCTTCACCGATATGTCATATACCTTCCAACTGGGTATCAAGACATAGTGACACAAGTATGTCACCAAATATGGACTATTTTAAGTGGTTAACACTTGGCTGCACCTACTACAGAGCGATGGATATTAATAGCGGAAGGATTTAAACGAAGAGCTAATTTCCCAAACTGCATCGGTTGTGTCGATGGAAAACACATGCGGATTGAAGTTTCCGAAATTTGGCACTATGAACTTTAATTAAAAAAAGAGAAATATTGCTCAATTGTACTTCTGGCAGTAGTAGATTCAGATTAGAGATTCGTATATGTTGATATCGGTTCTTACGGTAAAGACTGCGACTCCGCAATTTTTCAACGTACAAACATCTATCAACTAGGTACTCACTGAAGGCAGGTTGAGTATACCTCCACCTGTTCCACTGCACTCATCTCAAAATAACAGAATGCCACATGTTATACTAGGCGATGAAGCTTTCCAGCTCACTGAACATTTATTACGTCCTTTTGGCGGTAACCATTTAGATGTGAAAAAAAGAATTTATAACTATAGACATTGTCGTGCACGAAGATACGTTGAATGTGCATTTGGCATTATGGCCAATAAATGGCGAATATTTCATCGTCCTCTAAATGCAAACAAAAAACTTAGCAAAATTATAGTTAAGGCATGCGTCGTTTTGCATAATATTGTACGTGAAAAAGATGGCTACAGAGGTGAGGATATGTTCATGTCTATTATGCACGATGGGCTGACTGATGTACCAAGGGTAGGAAGTGTACCGCATGGTGGGCGTACCGCTAATGACATAAGAAATAATTTTGCTGAATAGTTTGTAAGCCCAGAAGGCTCCTTACCTTGGCAGATGAATAAAATCTAAACTTGTAATTACTTAATTAAAAACATAAATAATAAACTACCATGTACTTACCAATTTCGTCTTTGTTTTTCTGGTCCATATCGTCGAAAGTTCGGCTCTAAAAAGATACGAACATCGCGCCATGCATTTCTACGCAAAATTTTATCTCTGGATACTTCCTTGATTTTATCCCACAAATATTCTTTACTTTCTATAACTTCTATTAATGAATAAATATCGTATTTAAATTTTTTGGCCTTTTTTATTACAATGCTATATGATAATTGATGACAGACAAAATAATAACTGAGCTCGTGTACGGTGCGACGGCGACGGCAGTGTGTGGACAAGTTCATAGTGTTTTTGCGGCCCGTCGAAATCTCGGGCCACGTCCTAGCGGTCACGCCGATCTACTCGCAATTTCGGCGGCCGGGATGACGGCGCTCGGGTGACGGATGTGCGGTGTACACTCGGCTAAAGTAAATGTATGTACCGCTACTTCGGCGCCGTCATTTCGTTCTCGGTGACGTGACGGTGACGGCGGCGGTGGACAAACGCCCTTAGTCCCTACCTTAATGTATGGAAGTGAAAATTCGTACTATGTTAGAGGTGATTCTGACTAACAGGTACAAAAATTGTGTGATGCAAGATGAGAAGTGTTTGCAAGATGTTATAAAGTGCCGATAGGCGCGGCGCGAGTAGGTACCGTATTTTCAAAAATGCTATCTGTTTCACATCACTCGCTCCGTATAGCCGTCGTGCGATAGAGAGAGTTGCAAATGTTAGAATTGCCTACATTTTCTTTTTAAAATATTGTTTCGAGCGATAATGTTTTCATCCCCCAAAACCTTTACGAAATGAGACAATTTTGGTCTTATTAGATTTAGTATTCTTTCATTTAGGTTCGTTCGTACGTTCTTCTTTTTTAATGATTCAGTTTAGTTAAAAAAAAAACGCTCGACGAAGTTTTTAAGTCAAAAATATAGTTAGTTGCTAATAACTTATATGGTACGCAATTTTACCTTAAAATAAAAGCGTACGGACCACAGAAATCTAAATAATAAGACAAATTTAGATTTCTGTGGTCCGGACCTAGTTTTTCTACAACATTTCCAACAATTATGAAAATTAGACTATATTTACGGGAGTTTTATGTTACATTTATTATGCAAATGTATGGTCTAAATTGGCGATTACATATTGATGATGGGCCAAATTTAGAGTAACCTTCACAGACAAACATGTCTATGAAGGTTACTCTGTTGGTTGGTGCTAAATGAAATTCTCTGCTTACCCCACTGGGTAACATGATTAGGTTTTTTTTATAGAATAAAGGTGACAAATGAGCACACAGTCCACTTGATTGTAAGTGAATACTATGGCACATAGACATCTATATTTATCCTCGATTAAGAACCAAAACGCATATGCGTCGTCACCCCTGAGCACCAAGATGGAATCCCTCGTTTCCAGTAAAAAAGGTTCTTCGGATCTCTACACTTACCATACGAAACACAGCAGTGTGAATCTGCTATTTAACGCTGGTATTCTGTGAGAGCGTGGTCTTTACCAGGTCGAACCGACTAATTCGTACCACAACCATAATATAGCTGTAGCCTTGCTCTACCAAAAAAATTTACCATCACACAAGAATTTTCTTCTGTATCGTCGAGGCAGTTTACATATATAATTTGCTATTATAAATACTTACTCCGTACGAGATTCAAACCCCATCGCCACAACTAAATGCATAACCACGTCCCCGCGGAGTCAAAAATGGAATAATTTACCAGATTTTATCCCCTCACTCAATTATAACGTGTGTCCTCAAGGCAGGAGTGCAAGCTTTAGTTAAGCTATTATTTAGCATATCAGGTCTAAGTCTGTCTAAGGTCAGGTGAATGTTAGGGTCCTACGCTCTTCTTCTAACAACAAAATCTGTATTCCTGTTCACTTCGAATAAGGATCACAAACGAGCACACAGTCCACCTGATGGTAAGTGGATGTTGTGGCCCATATGCATCTACATCTTCGATTAAGAATCATAATGCAAATGCGTCGTCACCCCTGAGGACTACGATGCAATATCCCTTGTTTCCGGTAAAAAGGTTCTCCAGTTCTCTACACTCACCATACCGTACCTGAGAACGTGATACTTTATCGTTCGAAAAGACTAATTCCTGCTACAATCATAATGTAGCTACATCGTGGCTCTACTACACGGAGTACTTGTATATATATGAAGCTCCACCACGTATACAATAACACCAAAATATAAAAATCAGCCTGTATAAAATTTGTTCTCAAATTCCTCAATTTAACTAATTAATGTAATTGGACTATTGCATTACATCACCTATGTTAATAGTCTGGCAAACATCATCAGACGTTGCGAAATATACCAGTATGCCGACGATACATGCCTCGTTGCAGCAGGCGAAAATATTAACGAAACTGGCCGCATTCTGCAAGAAGAACTTAATATATTAACACAAGGGTCTTGCGATATAGGATTAGTTATCAATGCTAGCAAGACCAAGCTAATGTATATAAGTTCAAGTCACAATAGGAGTAAAGCAATACCTAGCATTATCATGCATGACCACCTATGCCTTCACAAAGGACAATTGACTCTCAATTGTCATTGTGCAGAATTAGAGCCGGTAGAAACTCAAACTTACTTAGGACTTATAATAGATAGTCGACTCAACTGGAAACATCATATTGAGGATGTGTGTAATAGACTTCGAATCATATTAGCAAAATTCTCCATAATTAAGTATAAAGTCCCTTATAGAATTCTGTTACAATTATATAAATCACTGGCTGAATCCAAAATTTCATATGGCTTGTCTAGTTATGGGCGAACTTATAAATCACATTTAGATAACATTTATTCATTGCAACTTCGCATCTTAAAAACTATAGTCCCAGACCAAATAAAAAACTTACACAGGGATTCCGATTACCATAACCTATTCGATTACTGCAAAATTATACCGGTGCATAAAAAAGTAGAATATACTCTCTTAAATAAAGAATTTTTTAATGAAGATTTAAAAAAAATATGGCATTTCTAACTATTCTAAAACCCGCAGTGCGGCCAAACCAAAATTAGATAAACCTAATTATAATAATTTATACGGAAAACATACTTTAGAATACATGGTTCCGAATTTAATTAATCATTTACCAATATCTTTTCAAAATGAAATTAATCATAAAAATATTAAACACAAATTAAAAAACTATTATACGAACTGTGTATATCAGACTTCAGACTTAAAAAATAATAAAATTAAATACTATAATCCCCACTAACTACATTTCTTATATTTACCTATATGATATACAACCTAAGAATAATCATTATATTCGTTTACTATTAAATAATTTAATATTAAGTAACTAACTAATTGATACCTCCTGTATACGCAACGCAGGAACGACCGGTTTTTGACGCAGTGAAGTGGGCGGTGGCAAGACTCACACCTTTCTTGTTCACTATGAGTTAACTACGTATGTATTGCCGATTTACCGCGTGTTGACCGTGCCAATTGCTGTTTAGTGTTCAATAGTGTTGCGTTAAACATATCTTTGTAGATTAAGGTGTAGCTCATATTTAAAAAAAAAAATTATGTCGGTGGTCTGTGGTACACGGTAAAGTTTTTCATTAAGCTTATGTTGTACCATATTATATCCTTTTTATCATGTATAATATGTTCAAATAAATAAATAAAAAAAAACTCGCCAGCTTATTTAACGAAAATTATCTATGAACATTTAATGTATGTTCACAAAAACAAAGGTAGTTTTAGTAAAAAAAAACTTATATACTCTGTAAACACTAGGAAAAAACACAAGCTAAGTAATTCATTCTTAGGGCAATGTATACGCTATTACAACAAAGTACCAGAAAATATACAAGGTCTCTCTGTTACCAAGTTCAAATATTTCATTTAACAAAAAATGTATAAAAAGGGTTATTATGATATAAATTAATACATGGTTGATAATAACCCCTGGGAATGAGGTGATCGTTTCCAAACTGTTTCTAAAATAAATTTTGTACCGTTGACATTGCAAAATTTATTTTTAAAAAATACGTCCGACTGAGTTTTTTGCTTGTTCTTCCCAGGAGAGGTTTTTTCTTCGAACCAATGGTAAAGTAAAAAATGACTTTCAATAATAATTACAACATGTAATCTATATTGAATAAAAAATTATTCTATTCTATTTTGTTTATCTTTGGGTTGATTTAGCACGAGAAGCCCGAACAGACCTGTCCGTAGTGAACTCCACGAGATAATTTTTCTACAGGAACAAATAAAATGCATTGGTGTTACAAAACAATGGTTATATTATCTGGAAATTATTTACAAATTTTACTTACAAAGATAATTACAACATTCGTACAGTACACAATAACTACAGTTAAAATTAACATTTCTACCCAAACCAAAAGCACACCTAAAATGTTAGCGAACCAAAAAGATTACATACTACCAATTTAAAATTAGCTTTGAAACGAAAATAAATGGATATAACAATCGACATTTGTAACAAATTAGGTCCAACAAAGCAAAATTATTATTAATCAATGAATTACAAAAATATTAAGAACGCGTGTCACGTCGCCATCTTGAATGCCTTATTTGCACGCCAAATTAGATGTTTCAAAACGGGCCAGGTCTATGTACACTACCTCGGAAAACTAGTAAAACGCGTGGAATTCAAGAAAATACATATAATTAGTAAAAAATAACCTTTCATCCATTGAAGCTTTACGTCTTGTGATTTCAAGAAAAATGGTAGTATCGACAAGGCTCATCTCCTCCCCATTTAAAATTAAATTAGTAGTTAGATGTTTGACACTATCAAAATGAGAGGAAAATACATACATACATAAACACTCCGCCTGTCACCCAGAAGGGTAGGCAGAGACTACAGACTTCCATTTAGCACGATCCTGACATACCTTTCTCGCCTCTTCCACATCCATATACCTACGCATACATGCGCGTCGGTTAAGGGTACTCTTAATTTGGCCCATTTTTAGTATATCGCCAATTTGGTCGACAAACTTCCGCCTAGGACGTCCCTTTCCGACTCTTCCATTCACTTCTGCAACATATATTTGCTTTGTCAGTCTTTCCGCATTCATTCTTTCTACAGGACCAAACCACCGAAGCATTCCTTTCTTAAGGAAAATACATATTATTAGTAAAAAATAAAATTTAACAATATCCCTGTCAGCGAAAAAGATACAATAGTTAAACAATCGAAATGTTCATATATTACTTCTCATTGGACAGTGAAATGGTTAAAATATTTTATTTTATTTAAAATTAAAAAATATGCCATAAGGTATTAAGTCCGCCCTTTATATCCCTTAGTATACAAGGTGTATAATAAAGATTAAATAAATAAATAAAATATATAAATCAATTATTTTAGACATATAAAAATGATTAAAAACGATGGCAATACATTTTAATGATATGAATTAAATTTTTTTCTTTTTATTTTATGGCAATCACGCAGTAATGAATTCAGCCAATGTCAAATCAGTCATGGAAGAACAAAACAGGATAACATAGTGGTTATTTTAATAGCAGACTGTTTGTTGAGATGCATTTAGGACACAAACACAAGACATAATATGCGATCAGAAACAAAACAAATGTCTATGTCTAATAAACTCGAAAATTGAATTTTTTTAATTATTAAAACAAGCTTAACGATAATTCTGACAACAGATTTCTGTCAAGTGTCACATAGATAAAAACGTGACCCCACAATAGGATTTTCTCCTGTATCGTGAAGGCAGTTTACATTAGAGGAACAATTATTTGTAAGGCCATACAAATACTTGTTCCGTGCGGGATTCGAACCTCAGCGTTACAACTCATTGCCGAGCCACTGCGCAACGAAACCGTCAAATATAAAAAATCAAAGATAATGTCAAATATTAATAAAACGTCATAATATAACCGAAATAATCAATTTTTGGTGGGTATTGCAAACTAAGCCATCTTATACAAAAATGGATGATTAAAACTGTTCTATGTGGAATTACCTGCGTCCTTAACCTGGCCCTTAACATTTTGAAACATATCATATACACAATGATTTTTTTCAAAATTTAAATCTCCTTCTTCTTATGACTGCTGCTATATTTGAAATTATTAATAATGTCTAGACAGTAATCAATGCAATATGATAAAAACCATAGAATACTATAATACACAATAGAATGGCTGTCAACCTTCTTTTGTGCGAGGGTCGGCGTCGCCGGGAGCACACATATAAGCAATTACCTCGTATTATCACTACTACAAACCCGATTCGCTGTGTTGACAGACTTTTGATTAATGTTTTTGAAACATCAATATTTCTTTATTTTTGTTTCTAATATTCACAAAATATAAATAGTTTCGACTTACTGGTTGTAGAATATGTCTGTTCCCGCTGTTCTTTCGACACGTAATTATTGCACAATTTGCCATTTTTTAAATAATTTCCATGCAGCGACGCTTGACACGAAACGTGGAAACGATTGATTGTGTTGTCATTTATACGTGTGAATTGACGTGTTATTGACATGTTAGTATGTATTATAGTATTCTATGATAAAAATTATTGAATTAATTAAATTTACCGGGCTTTATAAATCAAGTCCGTTAATTATTTGGCAGAGATAGATAAATTTTTAAAATAATTTTTCGTCATACTTAAATTAACTTGTATTTTAAAAGCAGTCGATATATTTTGACTTAAAACAAACTATCTTTGTAATATGTCAATAGTTAAAAATATAATGGTAGATTTGTGGTTGTGCTCAAAGAACCAAAAATTATCCAAAACATGTTTTGGAATTAATTAATTATTATAATATGATTCATTGATAACAAATTAACACAATTAACATTCTTCGTCTAACACTCATCACTTAATTTCGCTATAAGTAAAAATAATTTGCACATGCACTTTTAATCATAAAAATTTCGAACTTAGTTGACTAAATACTTACTCCAAAATACAAAAATACAATTCCATTGTACAAACTAATAGTCAAAATGACCGAAAAATCACTGGATTTTTTTTATCGTGGCAACAGTACTCTAGCTTGACCACAGACAAAAAATGTTCCGCGAAACTATGGATCGAAACTGAATTCGTCGGCTATGCTGTCCAAATCCATTGGTTTGATGTCTGAAGCTTTATCAGGGAGAAGGTCTTCTAGAGTTATTTTGTCTTTATCGGTTCCCTTTTCTTCTTTGGAATCGCCCTCGCCGATTTGAGCATCCAATGCCTCCAATAGTTTCCGGTCATCCATTTCAGTGTCACTGATGTCGTCTAAGTCATCCATGTTTAATTTGTATCTTTGTTTATCGGTCTGTCCATTTACATTTTTAATGTTGTTACATATTTCTGTCACTTCCTCTCTAGATTCTTGATTATCTGTGTTAACAGCGGGTTCCACATGTCCAGAACTTTCTTTGTCTTGTATTTTATTATCATGTAATTCTTCTGCTCTATGGTTTACTTCCTCATGACTTTTCAGATCAGTAGATTCAGATGCATTAGCTACCGAGTCAGAGTAAATTTTATCTTGAATTGATTTCTCTAGTCTATCTTCATCTTCGGATTTCTGAATCGCTTCCAGATCTTTTTCAGTCTCACGAATTTCATTTTGATAATTCGAATCTTCATCCATTACATCCATTTTATTATCTGCAGAGTCGTCTATATTACTGTCCTGCATATCGTCTACAGAATTATTCTCTGTACTTTCATTCACCATTTTACCATTTGCTTCTTCATCTGGTGTGGTTGCTGCTTTCATATTCGAGTAATTATCACTTCCCTGAAACAATTCATTTGAAACATCTTGTGTTTGCGCTTCTTCGCTTTCTTTCTCTTCTTGTTTAACTTCTGTTGTTGCATTTTCTTCCGCTATATTTTCTTCTGCATCGTTTTTGGTTTCTGTTTCAATTTCAGATATAATGTTATCATCTTTGGTAGTTTCTACATCTTGTACTTCAGAATTGTTTTCCGAAACTTTCTCCGATTCAAGAACACCATTGTTTCCATCTAATTGCGAACTAATATTGGAAATTAAAACTTGACTTAAACCACTAGTTTCTTCGTTAATATTTTCCATTTTCTCATCTATCGCCTGTTTTTCATCTATTTTTACAGATTCTTGACAACTTTCAACGTTAGTGCTAGCACTGTCCGCAGTTTCCTTTGTGCATGTTTCTTCACGAATGCTGCTTTCATCCGTTGTTTTTTCAGCATTTTCGATAACTTTTTCACCGGTAGTTGAACCTTCTTCTCCATCACTTCTTGATTTTTCTGCAGCACTTTCTGCGGCATTGCTTTCTTCACCCTCTTTATTAATATTTTCATCACCTATCGAGGACTTTTCATTTTCTCTACTGCTTCTCAATTCAGAGTCATCGCTACTATCTAAACTTTGAATAGTTACGTCGACTTCATCAGTGTTAACTCTACTTTCGATATTTTCACTTGAACTCTCCAATTTTACCTTCCTACGCTTCCTCGGCACTTTACCGAGGATCTTTTCTGAGAATATGGTTTTGAGAGTTAGCGTGGAAAGTCTCTTAACCTTCTTTTTCTTGGCATAAGGGTTGATCACAAGATTTAGCGTAGGTTCTGCCTCACTGTCGCTGCTGCAATCCGAATCCCAATGAATGTAATTCGCGTCTAGATCAAAATCAATTCTAACATCGTCTTTAATTTCGACCATGCCGTCGTTCTCGCTGCCCGGTTCACTTTTGATACGAAGGCTCCTAACAGAAGATATGTATGGATATACGCAGTTGCTGTCCAGGCCGAACTCCTGTTGACAAAATATGCCCTTGTTAATTTTTGTTTCATTGTCACCATTATCGTAACATCATCATCATCATCCCATAAAAGTCCACATAGCCTCTCCCGTTTTGAATTCTCGTTTCCGCGAGCCGGGTTGTTTAGTAAGTTGACTTAATTGAAGCGACAGTAGACATATAGTAGGATGTGTAGAGGCTGATTTACAAACGATTGTTGTTTTAAAGAAGAGGGCCATAAAGGCTATTGAGTGTCTCAGAGAAATATTTAAGGAAATAAATATATTAACTTTAGCCTCTCATTATATTTACGAAAATTTAGATGTTAACAAAAACAAAAGTATACACACATCTATAAATATATATTATACACTTGGTAAACACCAGGAATGAACACAATCTAGTAATACCAGTTTCTCGACTCGAGAATAAGGGTGACAAATAAGCACAGTCCACCTGATGGTAAGTGGTTACTGTGGTGTGGTAAGTGGTCATAGATCACGATCAGGCATTTATCCTCGAATATGAATCAAAATGCAAACGCATTGTCACATCCGAGGGCTGAAATGAAATGGCTTGTTTCCAGTAAAAAAGGTTTCCGGGTCTCTACACTCACCATACGAAACATAGCAGCATTAAGCTGCAATATTACGCTGGTATTCTGTGAGAGCGTGGTCCTTCCCCGGTCGAGCCGACCCATTCGTGCTACAACCATAATATAACATAATACTCCCTGATATGGGGATAAAAAATTCTCACTCGGTTTCTTGCTGGTTCTTCCTACGACAGAGGTTTTTCTGAACCAGTAAAAGTAAAAAATTACATTTAATAAGAATTACATGTACAGTAGAACCTTGTTAACTTAAACCTCGATAATGTAATAACCTCTATAAATCCATAAAATTTTGTGTCCCCTTCCGCTCGGAGTCCAAAACCTCTTTTACTTAAAATATAAACCCTCTATAACTTTAAACGAGTAAATATGGGCGTCCCACCTCAGTAACTTGAAGTTGTAACTAAGACGACCTTTGCAACTTCAATCATCTATCAATGAGCCATTTTAAATGAATGTGCAAACAATAAAGGTTCCCTGTAGACCATCGTAATTGTTTACACGGGTTTATCAAATGGCTTCAAATCACAGATTGGGGGTAACAAATATAAACAATATAATGTCCTCCAGACCGAATTTCGGCCACGGCGGCCTGCCTCAACGGAGGCTAGCCATCGGCGCGGGACAGGATTATAGTGCCCGAGTGTTCAAGCACAGGTGCACTCTCTATTGCCTCACTCTCATAGTGCGACGGTACGGTAAACCGACACGACCGGAGAGAGATCAGGCGCAGGACCAACGGCTTTATGTGCTTTCCGAGGCACGGGGGTGAGACACCGCCAACTTCCTGCCTCCGGGCAGCTACTGAGAATTTCTTGACGGAAAAATACAATAAACTGATTTTTTGCCCGACCCGGGATTCGAACCCAGAACCTCATGATCAGCAGTCGCGCTACTACAATCAATAGACCAACGAGGCAGTCAATGTAAACAATACACTAAGCTCTAAGTACAGTAACTTATTTGTATCATGTTTTTTTAAAGAGATTTTTACGATCTTTTATAGAGCAATGCAGAAGCACTGAGGATGATATTGTCTCTTCCTTATTTAATATTGAAAATTAAATTGACGTAGAAAATGTAAATAGTTTCAAACAAAAAAATGACGACTTTTTATGTAGGATAAAATAAACTTGAAAAAATGTATCTTTAAGCCTAAAATAAAGTATGTATGTACATAATCTAACATTTAAAAGTTTCATTTACATTTAACCTAGCTCGTCTATAATTCCTAAACAAAGCTCATAAACGAACCTCTGTATGTACAAACATAAACCAATAAAAACTCCTTAACTTAAACCCTTACTAAGTAAAAACCTCAACAACTCAAATTATTTAACGTGTCCCTTGGTCTTTATATTATCAAGGTTCTACTATAATTTATTTAGAATAAAAACGATTCTATTCTATTCTAGTATCAGAATCTCAAGTAAACCGGTGAATTCATGGTACTTCTAAAACATTGAAATTTACAAAGGATTGTAATGTGGTACTTTTCACTAGGAATTTCCTTCCCCGTACGAACCCTCTGTGGAATGGTTTACCACCGGCGATTTTTCCGGATCGATACGACTTAAGGACCTTCAAGAAAAGTGCTTACTCCTTTCTAAAAGGCAATTGTTCAACTTACGTAGTCACTTAACAGAACCGCATGATCGTTAGCTGTCTCTTCAATATAAAAAAAAACCTACACGTTTCTTTAAAATTAGCGATGTTTCAATGCTGCCTTATCGGTACACACCTGCGGTACGGTTGAGGTGCTGCAGGTGTGCTGCTCCGCCAGCAGCGGGTCACACCTCGCCACTCTGATCTGCACGGGCCGCAGCTTGCCCGCTATCTCCGGATCCAAAGCAGCCTCAGCGGCAGCCGCACTGGCACCCACCGAGCTGAACCCGCGGAATTTGGGCCCTCCAGGACCTTCTGAAACATTCACAATGCAAAGACCATACTGTCCAACTCTACATCAACGTACATTTGACTATATCTTAATAGAATTCATCATCATCATCATAACAATCAATTAACTGTCTAATGCTAAACATTGACCTCCACCATAGATTGCCTCATATTGAAGCGACAGTAACGAAGTTCAAAAACTGTATTAAACAAAGATCGTATAAAAATATTTACTGTAATATTAAGGAACTTATACTACCCTGGTAATATAACTGCAGCGTGGCTCTACCACGTATAGAACCCTTACCGACTCTTAACCGACGATCATATATAAGTATATGGGTGTAAAGGAGGTGAGAGAGGTTTCTCAGGATGGTGTCAAAAGGATGTCTGCAGTCTCTGCCTACCTCTCTGGGTGACAGGCGTGAGTGTTTATGTATTATGTACTATCTCATATTGAAGCGACAGTAGCAAAGTTCAAAAACTGTATTAAGGCCGAATACGAAGAGAACTGGCGAAATTTAATGTATTTCTCTTCACTACAACTTTGACCTGAAGTAATTCTAAGCGTTAAAACCTTTTTTGTAGGTTTGTTCGGTTCCTTCACAAAGTGCCCGCAGTTTTAAAATTTTAAAATAAATGAATATACCAACAAATAAAAAAATGTTAAGAAATGATATTTAAAAATGATTGTTCTTCCAAAACTGTGAATTTTAATTTAGGAAAAATTCTTTTACGTAAAAATGTTTGTATTGTGATTCCGAAGGTGCCTGCTGTCTTTATTTTCGATACAAAATATTATTTATTAAAATAATTCGTTTTAATTAAAAACACCCAATAATAATATCGTATATTGCCAAATAAAAGTTTGCCGTAATAAATTACCAGGCGCTCCGACATGTGACGTAAGGTGACAACAGTCGATGTGTCTGTAGCGAAAATCGTTAATTTAGTGTTTTATACGTGTTTAAGTGTCTATATAATGTAAATATGAGTAGATAAAGTAATAAAGTAGATATGGGTAGTAAAGTAAAAAAAGTAAATATGGGTAGGAAAAGAAATAAATGTTACCTAAGTGGTAAAACAAAGAGAGTTTATCGCATGAACGCATCTCGAAAGTTGTATTTTGAGGTTACTTATATTTTTTGTAAGGTAATTTTTTGTTTGAGGCTGCCTAATAGGCTGCATTTTTACTCATTTATATTAGCCAAACTGATTATTTATACTTATCTAGTTTCAAGTGAGAAACACTAAAAATATAAATATCAAGACCGAGTCGGAAAAGAATGTACAGTGTAGTTTAAGCACAGAGACCGCAAATAATGTCATAGTCAATGTATTGTCCGAAAGCATGAGGTAAGTACATAATTAAGAAAAACCGAAATACATCGAATGTGAAGTGATTGACCTGTCGTAGTCTTGTGAGAATTTACATACACAGTGCCTATCCCCACTATGGGGTAATCACCGACTTTTTAGTTTTTTTTTTTCTTTACTATTTATGCAATTTGCATTACGGCATCTTGTAAGACTCACAAGAACAAACATTTTCAGTTATATGAGGTTCTTTACGTACGATGAACCAATTAAGAAAAAAAAACCGTTATCAATTCAATAACTTTTCGAACAATATTTTATAAGGAATAAAGTACAGAATTTATAATCTATAGGAACTAATATTATAAATAAGAAAGATTTATTTCAGAAGTAAGCAATGCTCTCTGTGTTGTTCATTACTCTGCATACTGAGCTAGCTCAGTCAAATATAATATAATCAAAGCCCGTACGGCTTTGATAATATTATACATGTCTATATAAACAAAGCGTACGGGCGGCGCGTGGTTTGCTGCGAAACGAGCAAGGTCATTCGCGTCGTGTTCGGCCTCAAGGAATCAGGCAAGCTGTAATAACATTTGGCTATCAGATATTTTTTAAGATGTAACTTAAACAGTCTGGTAGGCAATTGTTTGACGTGTTTGGGGATTTTATTATATATTATTGACGCCAGACAGAAAATACATTTATGCATCAATGCTTCTTGAACCAACTGCGCGTAACCTACTATTATCCCTGCGATTGCGAATTGTATATATACGTTTGCAGATAGTTTGTTAAACAATTTAGGGTTACTTTGAACGAAGTTTGCTACTTCATATATAAATAAGGATAGGGTAAGCTCAAAATGTTGTGTTCAATGAAATATGGTTTGCAGCTATCAGAAGTTTTAAGACCGAACACAGCTCTGATGCGCACCTTTTTTGGGACTTAAATATAATTTCCTTATTAGTATAATTAGAAAATTTCATCAGTAAGTTGATTATTTACTATTTATCATTGTTTTAACTAATTTACATCTAGATGAATACCATGATATTTACCCTTGTAAACTTTAATTTATTACTTTTCATATTGAACAATTACCATTGCTGCTTTTATTCTACCGTAATACGCGACGCACGCGACATTTACTAACTCGCCAAGCAATGTATTGTGAAACATTAGATATCATCGTGTATTCCATGTTTATAATACGGCTACAGGCGTCGGTCGCTTAATACGTATGTGTTAAGATGTGACCATATCGGTATTGGAAGCAAGCGAGCGAGAATTCATTTCTATTGTCTTATTATTACGATTACTGCGATCGCCTCCTACGACACCCACGGGACGATGTGGCGCAATGGATATTCTTAGCCCGCCACTACACTGTACCACGGTAATTTTATCTATACAGTATTCCAACTTCATACAAACGGACGAAGCGAGAGCTATACCTACGCGCCTCGATCTCGGCATGCGCTCGGCATGCAGACAGTCGTGACTGTGCCGCAGTGATGATTTTGTGGAATATATATAAAAAATGGAGGAAATAAATAATAGAATAGAAATAAAGAAATAATAAATGCGCACTTCATTTAAAACCAAACATATAAATTATAAAATATCTTTTACTTGGTTATAGATACCTCTTTATCCAAGTAAAAGATATTACTTTTCTCCACCTTGTCCATGTTTCCCAAAATAATTTTTAATTAAGCTTTATATTATAATGCGGATTTTTTATACTTAAAAATTTAATAATAAAGTAATTCGTACGTCTCAGCCGAGGCGCAAATATTTTTCGGTCGCAATTTCATAAGACCGATTTGTTATTCAAACATAAACATGGTTTTTTTAATTAAATCTACCAATCAAAAAACGATACGCATTTTTATTGAACATTTCCTATTGAATTTTCAAAGTACCTACTATATTTGATTATATAAAAAAAGTATATTTACAATCATAAAACTAAATGGAAACACAAAGTAGGCAAATGTAATGCTGAAGGCAGGCAGCCCTATTGCATGTTTACGTACCGCGCTGCTGTAGGCATTTATTTCAAAGATACGGCCGAGTTAGAATACTGTATAGATAATATTACCGTGACTGTACACACAACCCCATTGTGCTGCAACTATAATATAGCTGCAGTGTGACTACCATGTTAGAAATCGTAAATTCATTCATCCCGTCTTTATATACCAGTCGTACCTTTCTTTTTAGCCGTACACGCGCTCTCGTGCTTCAAAAGACTCTTGCGTGACAAGTAACTCCGACCGCATTTAAAACAATTGTCTGTAACAAGGGAATTTAAATAAATTATGTATTAATTTTTTGTAGTGAAAACTAGCGATACTAACACACTAACAAGAAGTGGAATTGAAAATTTTGTACAACCGACTTCAATATAAATTAGAACATCATCTATGTAGTCGAAGTCAATTAAATACGCATTATTAAGTATAACTCAAAAACTACCGGTCAGATCTTGATCAAATTTGTATGGGACCACACGAGAAGCACCAGCTTCAAATAAAAAAGGATCAATATCGGTTCACCTAGAAAAAAGTTCTGAGATAACACATAAAGAAATATAATCTTATTCAGTACCTCCTTTTCGTGAAGTCGGTTAAAAAGGGACAAATCGATGATGCTCTGATTTTATTGATATTAAAGTTGGTTGTGCAATTTTTTTTTATTTTACCACTTATGTACAGTCACATAAATAATAATATAGTTACTATTACTAAAATACTTTTATCACAAGTCCCATAATTACCCAATAATTATTGAGCAATATAGCTGAATAATTATTGGGTAATTATCGGATTATTTATTATTATATATATTACCGCAACGAATATTCAGCAAATTTTTTTCCTATTTGGACGAATACCGAATATCTGGATACTATTCGGCTGAATACCGAATACTTAAGTAAGATTTTTTGTCGTAGTCAGATAATTGGCAAAATAAGAATATTGATTTATTTTATAATGATGTATTTTTATTACAATCATTAAAATAATCACAGTACATAACTTCAACTTCAACTTTTGTATTATGAAAAAATAACAAAAAAAAACTATCAATTGCCTATGCATTTTATTTTATAGTATAAGTGTGACAAACGAGCACACAGTCCACCTGATGGTAAGTGGATGCTGTGGCCCATAGACATCTACATCTATCCTCGATTACGAATCAAAACGCAGACGCGTTGTCATCCCTGAGAACTATGATGGAATACCACATTTCCAGTAAAAAAGGGTCTCCGGATCTCTACACTCACCATACGAAAAAATTATTTGCACTTGAATTACCATTGTGTGGAAGATTATGGTGCAGAAAGACCAATTCTTCTCTATTTTCAGGCAGTAGTTTATTAAATTTCTTCTCGTAGATACTTCCAATTTCCGAGAATAGGGGCTATGAATAAAAAACAGTACTTACTTCCAGGCCCAATACCTTTACTATATTATATCTATTCGGATATTCGGTCAGGAAGCCCGCAGAATATTCGGTATTCGCCGTGTGGCCGAATATACTATTCGTTGCGTGTCTAAACCTATCAATGGAAATTATTATATTGATAATTTGCAACCTCGACTCGTGCAATAATTTATTGTTACATTTTTGTTCACATACCTGTAAAATACTTCTCCTCGCTGCCACGCTGTGCTCGTCCATCGCTGAACGAGACGCCCCGTTCCTTTTTCACCTGCCTGCACATTAATTGAGATGTAGTAAATAGATTACCGATAATATAATCTAAAAAAATAGTTGGTTACTTGTTGTAGGTATCTAATTTTGCCACAAAACATATCTTTTCATGCACTACTTTTTTTTTTTGAGTAAGTGTGACTAACGAGTACACAGTCCACCTGATGGTAAGTGCTTACTGTGGCCCATAGACATCTACATCTATCATCTTCGATCGATTAACAATCAAAACGCAAATGCATTGTCACCCCTGAGGACTAAGATGGAATGCCTCGTTTCCAGTAAAACAGGGTCTCCAGATCTTTACACTTAGGTATTCTGTGAGAGCGTGGTCCATCCCCGGTCGAGCCAACCCATTCGTGCTACCACCATAATATAGCTGCAGCGTGGCTAAACCACATATAATAGTGTACTGTGTAAAAGGCAAAGAAAGCCAGTAAATTACAGGCTGAAAGGCGTTCCGCCTTAATAGTGTTCATCAAAAGAAAACTATAAGAATATAAGGGAATTCCATATTATCTCAACATGCCTGAATTATATATATTTATATATCACAAGCGGTAATACCCTCAGGGGTTAAATGTTCTTCAAAATCCTTTCTTACTTGGTGTCTACGTAGAGAAAGGAGTTTACATGCCAAATTTCAGTGATATCATGATGACTGAGTCAGTGATATTTTGTTAGATTTATAGTAAATTAACTTTTTTCATTCATTATTATAATTTTCTATTAGCGTTAGGGAATCATGTAAAATATATGTTTAGTTACGAAGTTGCGAAAACCAGCAACACAATTTAACAAAAAGGATACACAATTAATGTTAGGGATCCGGTTGTATACTTTTAAGGCCGGTCCTCATTATAAATTATAATGCCATTCACAGTTCTTTCTCAGTCGTTGATAAAATATTAACAAGCAAAAGCATGTGTGTGTATTCATACCATCCGTAACAGTCAAGTTTCGCTCGAATCCCATTCCAATAATATAATAAATCAGATTGAGATCGGACTGAGATCAAACTGTGAACGGCACTATAATGAGGATCGGTCCTTAGTCTGACGTAAACGAGATGGTTATACAGCCATCTATCCAAAGCTATGCAATATTTCTGATAATTACTATAGTCGCTTCTTACAATACCATCCACCTGATGGTAAGTGGATACTGTAGCCCACAGACATCTACATCTATTCACGATTACCCCTAACACCTAATGTCTTGTTTCCAGTAAAAAGCAGAATGAGTCGGCTCGACTGGGGAAGGACCATGCTCTCAGAGATATACCAGCATAAAATAGCAGGCTAAATACTGCTTTGTTTCATATAGCGAGTGTAGAAATCCGAAAACCCTTTTTTACTGGAAATGAGGCATTCCCTCTTAGTCCTCACTGTTGACAACGCATCTGCATTTTGAATTGTGATCGAGGGTAGATGTAGATGTCTGTGGGCCGCAGCATCTACATACCATCAGGTGGACTGTGTGCACGTTTGTCATCCTTATTCCATAAAAAAAGTCTAGAGTTCTCTACTCTTACCATATGAAACACAGCAGCATTAAGCTGCAATATTACACTGGTATTCTGTGAGAGCGTGGTCCTTTCCCCGGTCAAGCCAACTCATTCGTGCTACAACCATAATATAGCTGCAGCGCTACTCTATCACGTAATAACAACTATTAAGTTTGAAACTCACTTGGTTTGTGTTTGTGCAGCTGGATGTGACCTCGAGTGATTGGAAAGCGACTGCGAAGTGTGGAACTTCCTGCCGCAAACTTTGCATTCCTTCTGTGGCGACGGCGACCGAGGCCGCTTCGTTGGCTTCAAGTCACGCCTCAGAAGCTTGCGCGGTGGCGGCTTCGGTATCGGTTTCGGGATTGGCTTCGGTGCAGCTTTCGGTGCAGCTTTCGGTGTCGGTTTTACTGCTATTCTGTGAAATAAAGTTTTTTCTAATAATATCATCCCGATGGTATCTCAAAGGCGACAGGTGAAAGATCTGAAACAGGAGGTGAGCGACAATCTCGCACCTCGCAGCGTGAGTCATATTACTGTGCACGCGTAATACAACGTGCAGTGTAAGTAAATCCACAGCCCCATATCGTCCCGAGGATGTCGTAAGAGGCGGCAGAGGGAAACTTAAACAGGAGGTGGGCAGTAGCGGCTTCCCATGTTCCTTTTTTTACATTAGTTCCCTTGACTATGTACTGGATGACTTTTTTACATTAGTCCTTACTATGTACTGGATGACTTTTTACAGCTGTATGGATGACTTTTCATTAGTTCACTATGTACTGGATCTACATTAGTTCCCTTGACTATGTACTGGATGACTTTCATTAGTTCCCTGACTATGTACTGGATGACTTTTTTTACATTAGTTCCCTTGACTATGTACTGGATGACTTTTTTTACATTAGTTCCCTTGACTATGTACTGGATGACTTTTTTTACCGTCTGGAAAAAATCTGGTGTAACATGTGAACGGATAAGAAGCCTACGGCATTGATATTTTACAAAAAACAAAAACAAAAGTTTTGAATTATATAAATAAATTAATTAAAATAGGTAAAACAATGTTTTTTATAAAATATCAGTGCCATAGCGTAGTATACAACACGTACGAATTAACTTGAGACTCCGCTGGAATGCGACCCCCTTCCCGACTCCCCGCACCGCGTCCCGCGCTGGCCGTGCGCGCTCAGTACCGATAGCATTTTTGTTACGGATACGCGTCTCAACTCTAGTTCGATATTTTTGTTAATTGTTTGTTGTTTGGTTTGGACTTTTGTTTGTTTTTGTTATACTTGAACGTTATTTGAAAATGACGAAACCGGAACTGTACCATATAATACTGCTCAATAAACCACCGAAAAAATATATAGTGGACGAACTCATGAGGGAGCATGGACACGAGGTATTACGGCTGCCACCCTACCATTGTGATTTGAACCCTATCGAATATATATGGAACTTAATAAAACAAAGGGTGGCAGCTAAAAATGTTAACCAGTTTGAAAGGGAAATAGAGGGTTTGACAAGAGACGCAATACAGTCTATAACGGCTTCCGATTGGAAGAAAGAAATTAACCATATCGAAAGATTAGAAAATGAATACTGGGAGAGTGATAGACTTGGAGAAATCCAACAGAGAGAATTAATTATATCCCTCGGAGGGGAAGAATCCAGCTCAGAGAGTGAAAGTGAGAACGATCTAATGGACGGAATAGAACCGATCGTATACAGTGACAATGAATAATAAATATTATAATAAATCCTTATTAATATTCCTTACTTCTATTCCTTGATTTTACATAGTTTGTGCTGTTCCGCTTATCCAAGATTGATTCACTTTCACCCTAAGGTTGCCTGGGAGAGACAGCTTTTTAGCAATAAGTTCGCCTGTTATGCTTTGTATTTTTATTGTGTACGAATCTGTAACACTTTTTATAGTGCAATAAAGTGTATAATAAATAAATTAATAATATTATAAATGAGAAAGTGTGTATGTTTATTTCTTTGTCCTTCTCTGACGCGTTAACTAAAAATAATATTATATATATTATAAAAAATAAATATTTAAAATATATAAAAATGGCAACAGTATATCACTTATTACTTCACCCCTTGCCAGAACATTTTATTTTGTTTTTATTAATAATCTCATGCAAATCTCAAAAATTTCAAATAAAAAAATATTACGACGCATTATTTTGCACACCGTACATTGACAATTACGTCATCGGCCCAGGTCTCAAGTTAATTCGTACGAGTTATAGAGAGGGCACGTAGGTTATCTCCGACCCAATCCGCGATATAATTGCCTACTGTCTCAGGGTTGTCACTGTCACCAAATCATTAGTTTAAAGCCCGGCCCTTGCCAAAGATAATACATCTCTGTATAACTAATTCAGTGATCATTAATCGATAAAGTTCAACAATGGTTTTCCTAACAAATACAGAAATGTATTAAGATTCAGAAAAGTATTATTTTATTATTATATTAGCAATACGTTCTCCTGCGATTATCACACATTTTTCATTCATTTAGCGGTGCCGAAAAGCCGTGACGCGCGAACTTCGTGCGGTGTTAGCCCCGACTGGCGCGCTGAGAAACACTTCGAGATTGTGTTTAAGTGTGCGTGCGGCGCCTCATGGATACTATGGCGCACACATACAAGCCGCGCGCAGTGCGTTTGTATGAAGATAACGTACTTCCCCTCTCTTTATACTATGGCCATAGTCTGTCTGTCTGTTTACATGTTACCCCCTATTTTTTTTCCAGGCGATAAAATGGGTCATGTCGGGATTCGGAGGAAGTGAGAGATACAAGTGTCGTGCCTATTTTGCTTAAAATTTATTGTTTTATTAAGTGTTGTTGATTTACTATAGTAAATTTTTCTGTCTTGGTGGAGGTTTTAACATCTGTAAATTAGTGTTTGTAGTTGTGCCGTTTTTACGTAATTTTTTGTTGTAGTAATATAATGGAGGACGAACCTCCCGATCCCGGAAGGGTTCGCAATGATTCCTTTTCCTTACTATTAACATTGATAATATAGAACTAATTAACCGTAAACGTGCCCAAGTAAGTAACGAGTCTGCCCACCCACAAAAAATAGTTATTACTGATCCAAATCAACAGTTTCCTTCAATACAATCCTCATGTACCCATCCCGATTTTATTAATAAAAAAGTTAAGTATTCTCAAGATGATGCCGCTCCTTTTCTAGTTCACGTAAGTAAAATCTCAAAGTCACTTTCTGTATCATAACAATATTAAAAATATAGTCCATGATGGAGTCAAAACAGTTGGACGAAATAGAATATCAGTGGAGTTTAAAACAGCAGCAGATACAAACACCCTTATCGATCACCCGGCTCTCCAAATTTCTAAATATGAAGCAACCATCCCCTCATATAGTATCACTCGTATGGGGCTAGTTAGACAAGTTCCCATAGAGTGGACACTAGAAGAATTAATAGCAGCTATAGAAATTCCCTCTGGCTACGGTTCTATAATTAAAGCACGGCGACTTAATAGACGATCAGTGACTGACAGCAATAGCGTTTCATGGGATCCAACACAGACGGTCGTTCTAACTTTTTCTGGACAAAAACTTCCTCCCCATATTTACTGTTTTTACACCTCTATGCCAGTGGAAAAATATGTTTTGCCACTAATTTAGTGTCATAAATGTTGTATATTTGGCCATGTTACTTCCCAGTGCCGATCATCCCCTCGCTGCTTTGTATGTGCACAGAATCATGAAGGTTTACTTTGTACTCGACAAACTCCTACTTGCCTATTCTGTTCTTGTCCCCACACCGCAAAAGACCCTACTTGTCCTGAACATCTAAGGCAAAAATCTATTAAACTTGTTATGTCATAAGAAAATATTTCATATATAGAAGCTTCTGCTAGATTCCCTCAGACAAAAAGATCCTTTGCTGATACAACAAGAATCCAGCCTCGTAATTGCTCTCAACAGACCCCTTATACTATAACTGACAGTCTTTCAACCCCTTCGGCTCAGCTCTCACAAACTGCATCATATAAAAAAACAATTTTTATCCCTCAACGTACTTACAGCAAATCATTAAATTCTGGATATGATATGGCAGCCCATCAGGCAATTGTTGAGAATCCTAATTCTTCCCTTCCTAATGGATGTGCTCTACTGGGAAATGACAACAACTCCTCTAGTAATGATAATTTCTGCGAACTTATATCAATGCTAATTAACATGATCTCCCGTTTTAGTGACACGGAACTTCCTCTATTACTCAGCTTTCCTCCTTAGCCCGTAACATTCGCAGTCCCACCAATTCTTCAATGGAATTGTCGGAGCATTAGAAATAAAGAAATGAACTCATTTACCTCATTAATAAACTTCATCCCTTCATTCTTGCCATCCAGGAGACATGGCTTAGGCCTGAGTCTCATTTTAGGGTTTCAGGCTACGCATGCCTCCCGGATGATAGGAGTGATGGTCGTGCTGGCACCTCTATTTTAATTTCAAGAACAGTTACATTTTCACAAATTCCTCTCCCTTCTCATAGTCCTGCAGTAAATGCTGTTGCAATTAAGGCCCTTGATGTCTCTATTCTCTCTGTTTACATTCCTAATCCTGATGTAAAAGTTTTAACAGAACTTGCAACACTTATTTCTTCTCTGTCACCTCCTATAGTTATTTTGGGAGATTTTAATATGCATCATACTGTTTGGGGCTCCCATCTGTGTGATTCACTGGTGGCTCCCTTATTTTTAGAACTTATTGATAATTTTAATCTCTGTATTCTAAATGACGGGTCTCCTACCCGTCGAGTATCCCCATTACAAAATGTTAGAAGTGCCGTTGACTTAACTCTCTGTTCCCCAGATATTGCTTCCCTTCTTTTGTGGCAAATATTACCTTCTAGCTACAGCAGTGACCATTTTCCTATATTCATCACTCCTTATACTTCACCTAGAATAAATTTTACATTTTGCCCAAGACTAAAGTATAATCTATCCAAAGCTAATTGGCAATTATATTCTACAGTTTTGGAACAAGAGGTTTCAACTCTTCCGTCAATTAACAATGATAATATTGCTCCTGTATATATAGAGTTCAGAAATGCAATTATTTCTGCTGCTAATAAGTCAATCCCCTTAAAAAAAACCTTTCAAAAATAATTATCGTTCCCCTCCTTGGTGGGACCAAGATTGTTCAGCAGCTTGCAGGAGAAGAAAAGAGGCTAAATTAAATACTCCCGTTCTATGACTGCAGAGACTTATATCTCCTATGAAAAATTGCTGCAGAAACCTTAAAATTACTGTCAGACAAAAAAGCGAACTGGTTGGTTTAAATTCTGTGAGTCACTGTCACCTAGGACTATTTGGTCTGGAGAAATGTTAAAAAATATCGCTGTGCAGTTTCTAGTGAAAATATA